CGTGCTACACCTCTCCCTTCTTTCTTACCTTAAAATGAAAACTCTGTGTATGTGGTGTGCATGCATGCATGTTCACACGTGTGTGGCCGCAGTGTGTGCACAAGAGTATGGAGGAGCAAAGCTGATGTGGGAATGCATGTTCACACGTGTGTGGCCGCAGTGTGTGCACAAGAGTATGGAGGAGCAAAGCTGATGTGGGAACGAATGCATGTTCACACGTGTGTGGCTGCAGTGTGTGCACATGAGTTTGGAGGAGCAAAGCTGATGTGGGGTGCCTTCGTCTGTTGTCCTCCCCTTCACTTGTTGAGGCGTCAAGGTCTCTTGCTGAACCCCAAGTTCACCAACTAGTCTAGCTAGTTCACCTCTCTGCCCCCCTAGTGCTGGGGTTACTGATGGTGACCACGCCTGCCGTGCTTTTCATGGGATCGGGGATCCAAACCGGAGTTCTCACCCTCACACGGCAAACGCTCCATCTACTGGGCTCTCTCCACAGCCTCATTTGAGATACAATCTCACTGTGTCGCCCATACTGGATTTGAAATTGTAATTCTCTGCCTTAGCTTCTCGGGTAGCTGGGATTATAAGGCTCAGCACTGATGGAATGTTTCTGTCACGCTGCTGTTTGTTTGTTTGTTTTTTTAGGTTTTTCGAGACAGGGTTTCTCTGTGTAGTTTTGGTGCCTTTCCTGGAACTCACTTGGTAGCCCAGGCTGGCCTCGAACTCACAGAGATCCGCCTGCCTCTGCCTCCCGAGTGCTGGGATTAAAGGCGTGCGCCACCACCGCCCGGCTATTTTTTCATGTTTCTCTTCTTGAATTTTTCTATTGCCACATTCTTTCATATTCAACTATTTTTTTTAGTAAAGTGTCGTTTTGGTTTTTTTCCTTTTCGTGTGTGACTTTGTTGGATGTTTCCTTAATATTTACCACGAAGTTATAACAAACATCCTAGAGTAACTGATGTCAAAACGCTTCCCAACGCAGCTGTTACCCTTACAATTGGTTATCACAGATTCTATCTTTCTGTACTCTTGGCTCAAAAGGTTTATGAAGCGAGAGGTTTAGATCGGTGGGAGAGTACATATTTAGTATGTAGGAGGCACCGGGTTCCATTCTCAGCACTAACATATGTATGCATGTATATATATATATATATATATATATATATATATATATATATATATATATATATATGTATGTATGTATGTATGTATGAACACATTTATTTATTCTTTGTGGGAAATAAAAGTGGATTCACAGAACCCAGAGTGGTGGCACATGTCTGTAGTCCCAGTCCTTGGGAAGCGGAGGCAAGAAGATCATGAGTCTGAAGCCATTCTATGCTCCAATAGTGAGACCATGTCTCAAAACAACAAACGTGAACTCACAAGCCAAAAATACAGTACTTAGCAATGTAATTCTTTGACCAGAATCCTGTCATCTCAGCTCCCTTCAGCATCTCTCAGAGGAAGGTATACTCATGACGATCCCTCTACAAACTATTGTTTATCTGGGACGTCTGAACTACTCCTTCAATCTGTGCCTTGGTTGTTCACAGATTTCTAGGGTGACAAGGCCATTGGCACTTTAAATATGTCTTACTCTGATGGCCTTTTGATCCCGATAACCTTATCGAACATCAGCTGTTAATCACTTCCCCCTTTAGGAAATACTGGTGTTCCTTTGTAGCCTTGTCGGACGTCAAACTTGTCAGCATCCTCTAGCCTCTCACCCGCTAGGATTACAGATGCAAGCCACCTCGCCCCACGATAACGTGGTAATGGTTAAATACCTCTCTCTTATCATGTTTATTGTCTCTCATCAATTGAATTATAATGGAACTTTGTGTGGAGTTCTTTAAATTCATCCTACTGCGTTTGTTGGGCTGGGCCTGTAAACTGAGGTTATTTCATCAAATCTGGGATATTTTCAGCTCTTATCATACATATTTTTATCCCTCTCTCTTTTCTTTCTTGGGTCCACAGAATACATGATGGTGCCCTACAGGTCCAGGAAGCTCTGGTCTCTTTTTGAACTTTTCTCTTGTTCCTCAGAGTGGACAATCCACCATCTGAACTTGGAATTTCCTCATTCTTTCTCTTCCCTGCTCAAATCTGCTGTTGAAATGCTCTAGTGAATTTTCATTTCATTTTATTGTACTTTTTGGTATAGATTTTACATTAGGTTCATTTTTTAAAAAAATGTGTCTCTTTATTGATAGTATCTTTTCATTAACAAAACTTTTTCTTGGTTCCTTTAATTTCTGCTCATGGTTTCATTTAGTTCTTTGAGTGTATTTAAGGCAGTTGCTTAAAGTCTTTATTAAGTCCAATATCTGGGTTTTCTCAATGATATTTTGTGGGGCTCTTATTTTTTTCTTTGAATTGCTAAAAACTAGATTTTGTATTGTAATTCTGCCAATAAGTCTCCTCTTTTTTTTTTTTTTTTTTTTCCGAGACAGGGTTCTCTGTGTAGCTTTGCACCTTTCCTGGAACTCTCTTCGTAGACCAGGCTGGCCTCGAACTCACAGAGATCCACCTGCCTCTGCCTCCCAAGTGCTGGGATTAAAGGCATGCGCCACCACCACCCAGCCCTTTGATATCAATAACAATGTTCTCTCGGTTCCTGTGCAAGGTTAGATCCGCTGGAGCTGAAGCTTACAGTCGTCAGATGTCTTTCTGGGCTCCTCCCCTATGCTGGGTCCATGTTCAGCTTTCTAGATTCTCCAACTGTACCTCTGAATTCTCTCATTTCTCCCAACAGAGTATCTTCCCAGGTTGCTGGTAGCTGACTATATGTTAACTATAAACAATAAACCAGGTGGTTTTCTTTAGAATTACAATGTTTCAGGGGGTAGTGGTGGTGCACGCCTTTAACCCCATCCCTGGGGAGGCAGAGGCAGGTGGATCTCTGAGTTGAAGGCCCGCCTGGTCTACAGAGCGAGTTCCAGCACAGCCAGGGTTACATAGAGAAACCCTGACTTGAAAAACAACAAAAATTACAATGTTTCTGAACTGGCTATTTTCATGTCCTAAATTGAGTTAGGCAGAACAGAGCTAAGTCTTGTCCTTTCAGAGAAGCCCAGACAGGGCAAAGTCAGGAACTTCTGAGCAAGATCTGCTGCTATGTTCCTTCTGGAACTAGGGGTCCAGGTCTGACACTGGTAATGCAGGTTTCCTGCTCTCAGGATAACAAGCAGGGAGGGGGGAGGGGTGGGGGCACAGGCAGGGAGGGGTGGGGGCACAGGCAGGGAGGGGTGGGGGCACAGGCAGGGAGGGGTGGGGGCACAGGCAGGGAGGGGTGGGAGCACAGGCAGGGAGGGGTGGGGGCACAGGCAGGGAGGGGTGGGGGCACAGGCAGGGAGGGGTGCGGGCACAGGCAGGCAGGACGTGACAAAGTCCTTCTAGCCTACAGCCGCCTTGCTCTCCACGTAGTATGTCACTGGTTGCTGCAAACCCGTGACCATTTTCTACTTTTCTGATGAAGTTGGCTCTGACAATTTCTAATCTATTTAAACATTTATGTCGAGGACCAGGTCCTTGGAGATGCCTGCCTTGACAATTTGTTCCACAGTGGCTTAAAATTCTTTTTCTCAGATTTGTTTATGTTTATGGATGTTTTGCCTGCACATATATGTATGTACACCACATACAGGTAGTGCCTGTGGAAGTCAGGAGAGGGCTTTGGATGCCTGGACCTGGAGTTATGGAGGGTTGTGAGCCACTGTGTGGGTGCTGGGAAGTGAAGCTAGGTCCTCTGCAAGAACAGCAAGTGTTCTTAAGTGCTGCGCATCTCCCCAGGCCCCAACAGTGGCTTTTAGAATATGGGTCAAAGCAAAAACAGAAACAAAACCAGAAAAGAATGGGGTCCCTATCAGCAAAGGTTCCAGCCCTACTCTGGAAGGGTGTTTCCTCCTCCTCCTCCTCCTCCTCTTCCTCCTCCTCCTCCTTCTTCAAGGCAGGGTTTCTCTGTGTAGCCTTGGCTGTCCTAGAACTCGCTGTGTAGACCAGGCTGGCCTCAAACTCAGAGAGACCACTTGCCTCTGCCTCTGCCTCCCAGTGCTGGGATTAAAGACATGCCCCACCACCGCCTGGCTGGGTGTTGTATTTCTTTTTTTTTTTTTTTGGTTTTTCGAGACAGGGTTTCTCTGTGTAGCTTTGCGCCTTTCCTGGAACTCGCTTTGGAGACCAGGCTGGCCTCGAACTCACAGAGATCCGCCTGCCTCTGCCTCCCGAGTGCTGGGATTAAAGGCGTGCGCCACCACCGCCCGGCAATAATTTATTTTTTATTTTATTTGCATTTTGCGTGAAGGTGTCAGATCTGGAACTGGAGTTACAGACAGTTGTGAGCTGTCATGTGGGTGCTGGGAATTGAACCCGGGTCCTCTGGAAGAGCAGCCAGTGCTCCTAACCCCTGAGCCATCTCTCCAGCCCCTGGGTGTTGTATTTCTTATCCTTCTCTGCTTAACATCCCCAGCAGGGACCTCTTGGCAAGCTAATTAACATCTTGCCTCTGCTCAGTGTGGTCAGCAGGTCTGTCCTCAGGGTCACTTGTGGGATCTCCTCACATCTCCCCCCCAAGTCCTGCCCATTTACAACATACTCTGTTTAGTCTATGTTGTGTCTCTACATGGTCTGAACCATCTCTACCCTTAGCCTAACCATCCCTTTTGGCATTGGTTCTGGCTTGGGTGTTTGTAACGGGGCCTCACACTTTAGCATGACTGACTCCATGATGAAAGTACCATTCAGGCTGTGAAACTCAGCACATAGACAGCACCACTTGCCATGACTAAAACAAAGACCTCATCCATCAAAGTCTGTACTTCTGGGAAAGTCTCTAAATGTACTAACCTTGCTTTTTAACTTCTGTAGTTCTGCTTCTGGCTAACCGTTCTTGTTAACTGAAGTATGCCAACTCAGGACATGGTTTTTGTGCTTAAAAGCTCAGCCTGAGAAAGGCTCGGGACTGCACTGGGATCCTGAGCATCCAATGTACTCACCAGCCAGCTAATAAAGACTTTCTGGTGGCTTAAATCCATGTCTGAGCAGTCTTCTCTGGTGAATACAGTGTTCCCTTAAAAAAACATTTGCGGGCTGGAGAGATGGCTCAGAGGTTAAGAACACTGGCTGTCCTTCCAGAGGTCCTGAGTTCAATTCCCAGCAACCACATGATGATGGTTCACAACCATCTATAATGAGATCTGGTGCCCTCTTCTGGCCTGCAGGGATACATGCAAACAGAACACTGTATACATAATAAATAAATAAATCTTTAAAACAACAACAACAGAAAAATCCCAAATCAAAAAAAAAAAAAAAAAAATTGCTATCTGACTAGAGCAAGGGAAGCAAATGCCGAGGAGCCATCCTGCTTACCGCTTACCCACGTGAGCTGGGAAGGGCTCTGAGTGGGGACAACAGGGTGATGTGGACGTAACCAGAAGGCAAGATGGTCACAAGGTACAAAGCTGTTGCCAGCCTGGTCATGGGGGTCAGGCCTGTAGGCCAAAGCAAAGGGTGCTGACAGCCAAATGTCCCACTCAGGGGACAAGGGGTGAGGAGAAGTCAGTGCTCTGACATCCATCCTTGGCCCCTTGAGTCCATGCATGAAACATAACGCAGGCGACTGCTTCTCAAAGGCAAGCTTAGGGGGATGTGGCCACCATCATTCCAGAATGAGGAAACTGGTGGGGAACCAGTTCCTAGTACCTGGCCTCCTGATGGCGAGGGAGGACGGCTTCCAGCTCCTTGACAGCAGAGGGGTCACAGACTGAAGATCCACGGTGCAAGTATCACTGGTACAGGCCTGCGTTGCAGGAGTCCAAGGAGATGGTCCTGGAGCTGAGGGCTTCACCTCTCTGCCTCCTTGGGGTGCACTTTGAGGCTGGGACCTGAAGACCAGAGAGGACACAGTAAGTGTACACAGGAGCCAGTACCAGGAATCCATCATCTTACAAGAGAGAGGCTCTTCTTCTACCTTAGACTATAGGTACGAAGAATAGATGTGCTGATCCCCAAGGCAAAGTGAGCCCCTGGTGCCTGGCAAGCGTCTCACTGAAGGGCCCTGTCCTGACATAAAGAAGGGAACAGCTCTGACATAGTCTTCTCACTCCTGGCTCCCGTCACACAGTCCTATGGAGTTGAACGTGCAAGACCATCTACTGCAAGGAAGCAGCGGCCTTAAACGTCTGAACAGTCAAGGGCAGCAGACACAACAGCCGCCATGCTCAGTGCTTGCCCATCGTAGCAGTCAAGTTTGAGATGGGTGTGGCAGCAGTCATGGGTACCCTTGTTTCGTACCCCTGCCAATGCCCTCCCACTACAGCACCATCCATTGGTCCAGCCTCAGTTTTCCTTTTCTCTTGGTGTCTCAGGGTTCACTTCAGTCCCTGTTTTAAATTCCTTAGTGATTTTATCTGACCCCAAGGAAGCAAAACCCTGTGAAGCCTCTTCAACTCGGGCTCATCTCCAGTCTTTACTACTCTTTCTGGGCGGAAGACAGGACACTCCCACCTAGAGGCCTGTGAGCTCTTCACGTAGGTGAGTCACTGATTGCCCCTGGCTCCTCTCTACTTAGACCTCGCCTCAGGGGGCACGAGGGAAAGGAACTGACATTCTTCAGTCTTTCTACCCTGCGTTCCAAATGTTCCATCTCCGGAGTAGAAAAAGGGCAAGAAATATGGCTCTCAACCTGCCTAATGCTGAGACTCTTCAATACAGTTCCTCACAGTGTAGTGACCCTTAACCATAAAATGATTGCATTGCTATTTCATAACTGTAATCTTGCATAATGTAAACACCTGACATGCAACGCCAAGGGGTCGAGACCCACAGGTTGAGAACCACTGCTCCAGTGGCTAATGCCCGCCAGCCTATGAACTGGATTTTTTCCTCTTGGGTAACCACCCTCCCCTCCCCCTCTTTTTAAAAAAAGAGTGTTTCCTGAAATGGGCAGGGTGGTGCATGCCCTTAATCCCAGCATCTAGGAGACAGAGGCAGGTGGATCCTTGAGTTTGAGGCCAGCCTGATCTACAGAGCAAGTTCCAAGACAGCAAGGGCTACACAGAGAAACCCTGTCTTGGGGAAAAAAAAAAAAAGAATAAGTAAAATAAAAAGAGTGTTTCCTGCACACCAACTATCGTGCTTGTTTCTTGGGGTGACAGAGCAAGGAACGCCGTCCTTTCACTGGGATAAAAGAACACAGTAAATGCATCAGTGAGACAGGGCAGCAGAGGAGTTGAAGAAGGGGCATTTTAACTCGGTAGTAAAGCAGGTCTCACTCAACAGGTGACTGAAAGATGAAGAAGGGAAAGGGTGGTGGACGCGAAGGACGTGGGGAGTGTAGAGGCACGCGGGGCAGGTTCTAGAAGCAGTGAGCCGGCCAGGGTGGACAGAGAAAGCAGAGCACACCCTAGAGGCACGATACTGTCCCCCAGGCCTGCATCCGTAGGTAAAGGCTCTGCAGCACAGGTCTATGAGGCCTGAAGGTGCTTAGAGGGCAACATAGGTACCCCCCCACCCTGCACACACCCTGTATAGGAAAACACGCTGTCCAAATGCAGTGTCTTTGGCCAATGGGCTGTTCTTTCTGTTTCCCCCGGGAGGAGGGGTGCTCTGTTCGGCTTCAGGACGAGCGATAGTTGAGGGGGATATCAGGAGGCAGCAAGAGTCTCATCTGTGGAGTGAAGTGACGCGAAGACGGTCTAGAACGGGGCTGAGCAATGGCTTCTCTGAAGAAGGGTGGAGGGAGGGTGGTACAGGGACCAACACTGGGATGCTTTGAGAAGGAAGAAGGGCTGGAAAGCTGCTGGACTGAGGTCAGAGGAACCAACACCTAACTCTCAGGTTGACGTCACACAGCAAGTTTAAGGACAGAGCTCAGAGGGGTGGGCACTGAGGACAGACTCAAAGAGGTCTTGGCTGCCCGATGAAATAGGGCATAGTTAGGGGCTGGAGAGATGGCTTGGTGGTTAAGAACACCGACTGCTCTTCCAGAAGACCTGGGTTCAATTCCCAGCTCCAACATGGCAGCTCACAACTGCCTGTAATTCCAGCTCCAGGTGATCTGACAACCATGGCAAAACCACACTAAAAAAATACATAAATAAAACCTCTGCTCTACACTGGTATTTTTTTTTTTTTAAAAAGGCACAGTTCAGAACGCAGCAAAGAAATATAAACCTGTGTCTGTACCAGGAGAAGCAGAACAAAACCTCTTGTGATGGTTTGACTGAGAAATGCCCCCCATAGGCTTGTTTTGTGAACACTTGGTCTTTGGTTGGTTTGGGAACTTTGGTCTTTGGTGGCACTGTTTGAAGAGGCTGAGGCGGTGTGGCCTTGCTGCAGGAGGTACATCACTGGGGGTATGAGGGTTCTATGTTCCCATTCCACGGTCAGTTCACTCCCTTTGCTTTGTGCTTGCATCTGAAGATGTGGGTCCCCAGCTTCGTGTTCCAGCTGCCATGCCTGACACTTGCTGCTATGTCTCCCTGCCTCGATGGGTTTTTTACTTCTCTGGAACCGCAAACCAAACTAAATCCCTTCTCATATAAGTTGCTTTGGTCATAATATTTTATCACAGCAACAGAAAAGTAATGAATAAATGCCCCTTCCTAGTTTCTGATGCATCCGTCCAGATCACTCTAGACTTCCACAGGCAAATATACACTTTTTGGTCCTTTTTGTTATCAAGTATACCTAAGTGTGTACTTGTTTTAATCATCTCGTCCAGTGGTCATATACTTAATCTGTGATATTCCATGTCTTAATCCCTGGGACCTGCAGATACACTACACCACAGGGTAGGAGAGACTTTGCAAAAGAATTAGGATTATGAACAGGATGACCCTCGTGGGCCCAATCTAATCACACCAACTCGTAAAAGCCCTGATAAGTCAGTGTCGGTCCCCAGATGTGCAGCCACATTAGGAACCTCCAGGAATTACGGACTGCTCTTGGCCAGAACGCAGCAAAGAAATATAAACCTGTGTAGCAACCACAAGGCAATCGATCTTGCCAATGGCTTGAATAAACTTGGAGGCAAATTTTCCTGGCTAAAGGCTGAGCTAACTGAAAGACCCACTATCACACTACCTCTGCAGGACTCCTCCACGACCCTCCCAGAAGCCCCATAACAGCTATAAAATTCTTTCTTCTCAGAACTGGCTCCACCGATCCACCACCATTGGGCATCAAGGACAGAACACCTGGGGTGGAGTCAGACCGATGCAACCCCAGGCTGTGTTCTTCTCTAACGTCAAGTGAGTTCCCAAGTCCGGAGCACCTTCATCGCACACCTGTCAAGTCCCCCCGCCCCAGCTCCATCACAATCCCTCCCACGCCGCCTCTGCCCCAGTTCGAACCAGCCCCGCGCATCGGCTGCCGCCACGCCAGGGACACAGGATGCTGGTTCCCAAGCGGACGCTTCGCCTAATGAACTCACCACCGCAGTCGCGCTGGGCACGGTGCTAACCCAAATCAACCGCAATCAACCCTCCAAATCCCGCCCGACTTCCGGCCCGCGGCCCCGCCCCGTACCCCTCCGCATGGCCGCTCTAGACCCAAGAAGGTCCGGCTACTCTGGCGACTCGATGGTTCCAAGCTAGGCCCGGTGAACTCCGGCATCCCCTCACGGATGTAGGCGTTTATAAAGGACCCGAGCACACAACCAAGTTTCATCTTAGTATAGAGGATGCCATCCGAAGCATAGCAAGAACTAAACGTACCGGGATAACGGGAGATTTTAATTCAAAGGCTCCAAGAATTAGAACAGATTGTAGCTTGATTGAAAAAGTAACATGGTTGGGGTGTAGCTCAGCGGCAGAGGGATTGCCTAGTGTGTGCCAGGCCACAGCTTCAATGTCTCACACTGGTAAATGAAAAGTAAACACGTAAGAACGAATCAACAGTTTGACAGGTGAGTGAAAAAACAAAACAAAAAATTCCTTAAGCAAGTAATTTATTTTTTGTAGAACATTTACAAAAATTAATTATATGCTCGTTTTATAGGCATATTAGACAAAAATTGTTACTATACAAAACGTTCACACACAAAAAACCTGTTGGAATTTCAGATATACTGAGTAGATAACCTTATAAAAATTACCTGGAAAATTGCAGACTATAAATCGAAGAGAAGTAAACAATGCACTGGAGACATGGCTCAGAAGTTAAGGGCACTGGCTGCTCTTCCAGAGTACCAAGAGTTTGATTCCTAGCATCTGCATGGCGCCTCACAACTATCTGTTAAATCCATTCCCAGCAGATCTGCAGCCCTCTGGCCTCCCTGGGCACTAGGCACACAAGTCCTGAATAGACATACAATGCATAAAAACACCCATGCACATAAAATAAAAAACAAATAAAAAAGGAAAATATTTAGGCTGGCGGGTGGGTCATGGTGGTTCACACCTTTAATCCCAGTGCTCAGGAGGCAGAGGCAGGTGGATCTCTTTGAGTTCGAGGCCAGCCAGGTCTACAGAGTGAGTTCCAGGACAGCCAGGGGCTATTACACAGAGAAACCCTGTCTCAGAAAACAAACAAACAAAACAAACAAAAAAAGAAACACTTCATTCCCAAATGTGTACTCAAGAGAAAATTATTTTTGTTTATATAGACAAATGTACTTATCCTAAGCTAGTATTTTTTTTTTTGACTAGCAACAACAAACAAATATACACACAGACACTCTCGGTGCGTGCATTCGGGTGTGTATGTATATTGTGCTTTGGAAGGAGCTCAGTTGGTACAATGCTTGCCCGGCATGCACAGACCTTTCTCTTGGTTAGATCTCCAGCAATTCATAAACTCACCTGTAATCCTAGCATCAAAGAGGTGGAGGATCAAAAAAGGATCAGAAGTTCAAGGTTATCCTCAGTTTCATAGTGAGTTTAAGGCTAGCCTAGGACACGAGACCCTATTTCAAATCAATCAGAGGCTGGGGAACTAACTCTGTAGGTAAAGTACAGACATGAGGACCTGAGGTGGATCCCCAGAACCCATGTAAAAGTGGGGTTTAGTGACATGCTTGTAATCTCAGTGCTAGGAGGGGCAGAGGCTAGTGCATCTGAGGCTTGCTGACAAGCCAACCTAGCCTAAGTGATTAGCCTTCATCCCAGTGAGAAACCCTGTCTCCAGGTAGGTGGTGTGAGATGGCTCAATGGTGACAGCACCTGCCACCATGTCAGAGGACTCAAGCTGGAGCCCTGGGATCCATATGGTGGAGAGAACTGACTCCCTAAAATCTTCCTGTGACCGCTACCTGTGTATCATGGTCTATAGGAGTGTATGCACACACATTCACACACACACTCACAAATCAAACAAATATGTAACGAAAATTGTAAAGAAGAGCAAAGTGGTGATCTGAAAGAAAATGGCCCCCAAAGGGAGTGGCACTATTAGGAGGTGTGGCCTTGTTGGAGGAAGTGCGTCGCTATGGGGGCGGGCTTTGAGGTCTCTTTTGCTCAAGCTTCCCTCAGTGTTGACAGTCAGCTGACTTCCTGTTGCCTGCAAGATGTAGCACTCTCAGCTCCAGAGCCACATTGACCTGCACGCTGCCATGCTCCCTGTCATGATGATAATGGACTGAACCTCTGAACTGTAAGTGAGCCACTTCAATGAAATGTTTTCATTATAAGAGTTGCCATGGTCATGGTGTCTCTTCACAGCAATAAAAACCTTAACTAAGACATAGGCTTTTTGTGTTTTGTGTTTTGTTTTGTTTTGTTTCTTTGGGGTTTTTCAAGATAGGGTTCCACTGTTTAACAATCCTGGCTGTCCTGGAACTTGCTTTGTAGACCAGGCTGGCTCACTGAGATGCGCCTGCTTCTGCCTCCCAAGTGCTGGGATTAAAGGTGTGTGCCACCACTGCCTGACCACTAAGGCATAAACTCACTCTGTAGCCCAGGCTGGCCTCACACTCAGAGATCTACCTGCCTCTGCCTCCCGAGTGCTGGGATTAAAGGCGTGTGCCACCACCACCACCACCCGGCAAGGCATAGTTTTATATTAAAACAAAAATAAAGTGGATCCCTTATGAGGAATGATACCTGAGAATGACCTCTGGTCTACACACACACACACAGAGCTACTCACCCCAGAAAGGGAACTGCTGTGGGATGTTCTGTATGGCAAATGTGTTTCTCTGATTGGTTGGTAAATAAAACACTGATTGGCCAGTAGTCAGGCAGGAGGAAGTGTAGGTGGGACAAGGAGGAGAATAAAGCTGGGAAGTGGAAGGCTGAGTCAGAGACACTGCCAGCCGCCACGATGAGAAACAGCACGTGAAGATGCCAGTAAGCCACGAGCCATGTGGCAAGGTATAGATTTATAGAAATGAATTAATTTAAGCTGTAAGAACAGTTAGCAAGAAGCCTGCCACGGCCATACAGTTTGTAAGCAGTATAAGTCTCTGTGTTTACTTGGTTGGGTCTGAGTGGCTGTGGGACTGGCGGGTAACAAAGATTTGTCCTGACTGTGGGCCAGGCAGGAAAACTCTAGCTACAGGGAACCCATGACAGACCAAAGTAATGATAGCACTGAAGTCCAAGTTGGTGAAGCAATGAGTTTTTATTGGGGTTACTAACAGGAATATGAGTGAAGGGTTACTAACAGGAGTCTGAGTGAAGGGTTACTAACAGGCGTCTGTGAGTGAAGGGTTACTAACAGGAATATGAGTGAAGGGTTACTAACAGGAGTCTGAGTGAAGGGTTACTAACAGGAGCAGGGATGACCCCCAAACCACTGCACCATGTTAAATCCTTCCCCCAGGTTGGGTGATGACTGGGGAAAGTGTAGCCCTGGGGCTCTGCACAGCCTGCAGCAGTTTCAACGTCTGAGAACCCTCCCCACACCAAAGCCGGTCAAACTCCCCTCCCCAGCAGTTCTTACTCCCTTTACACAGCTGGTGAGAATCTTTCTGTCTTCCCTATTTTTTTCTGGACCTTTTGTTTTCCCCCAGAACCTCATAAGCCTCCTCCTCCCATCCTGTCAAGGATTCTGAGGAAAATGCCATACAATAGTAGTCACGGGCTGTTCCTCAAGATGTGAAAAGAAATGTACCGAATAATCGAGTGCCTTGTAGAAGCAAAGCTCACAGCACTAAAAGGGAATAAGAGATGGTTTGCTCTGGAGCCATTCTGAGTGGCCGTGACCCAGGAACACAGATTTAGGTTATCCTAAAATCCAGGTTCCAATGTGCAAACAGTTTCACAGAGTCTCAGTTTTACAGAACAAAGCATGTCATAAATCAAGACAAGTTTAAAATACCTCGGTGGGTACACCAGAGAGGCAGTTACAATGAGATGGGGAAGCATTTCTATAGGTCTAAGGTGTTATTGGAGCTTTGGCGTTGGTGGGAATTAGTGGTCTGCTAAGTTAACAGATTCTAAAAGGTTTTTAATCTATTAATCCCAACAAGAAGTTAGTTCTGACACAGAGATGGGTAAGGGAAGGCTGTTCTAGAACTAGTCCAAGATAAGGTAATTAGCCACTAGACCTTCAACACTCCAATATCCTCTTATTACTGTAGTTCTAAAGTCGATTGGTCTTGGCACACACAGCTTCTTTCTTTTTCTTTCTTTTCTTTTTTTTGGTTTTTCGAGACAGGGTTTCTCTGTGTAGCTTTGCGCCTTTCCTGGAACTCACTTGGTAGTCCAGGCTGGTCTCGAACTCACAGAGATCCACCTGGCTCTGCCTCCCGAGTGCTGGGATTAAAGGCGTGCGCCACCACCACCTTTTTTTTCTTTTAAGATTTATTTTTACTACTTTTGTATATGAGTGTTATGCCTGCATGTATATCAGCGCACCACATTCATGCTTGGTGCCCTAGGAGGTGGTGAGCATCCATGTGGGTGCTGGGAATTGAACCAGGGTCCTATGCAACAAGAAGTGCTTTTAACCAGTGAGCCAACTCTCTTTAACGTTTATTTTTAGTATATATGCTTTGCCTGCGTGCGTGCGTGCGTGCGTGCGTGCGTGCGTGCGTGCGTGCGTGCGTGCGTGTGTGTGTGTGTGTGTGTGTTTTGGATTCCCTGGAACTGGAATTAGGGACAGTTGTGTTTTGCCACGCCCTGCCCCACCTCTGGGCGTTCTGCCCCGCCCCGGGGGGAGGCGGGTGTTGTTCCAACCCTAGCTCAGCGCGCACGGGTCTGGTTTCTCGAAGGTGCACTCTGCTGGGTTCTCTACGTTCGTCCCTGCGCTCTCTGTCCGGATCCTCCCAGGGCTGCATGCCCAGCCTGGAGCGTAGGGTCTCCCCGAGTGCTGTGCGCCGCTCCTTGAGCGCTTGCCCTGCCACACCGACCACTGGGCCGCTGCTTTCTGCGGAACTCTGTGCCCTAGACGTGTTTCCAGAGGACTGAGTTCACTGGTTTAGTTAGGACTTACGTAGCTTCCGGTGTTCGCTCCGGCACATGGCGGTGAGCTCTGGGAGAAGGCGTGTTTGTGGCGAGGCCCTGGGTGTGGGGCCCCTGTGAATTTCGTCCTGTCGCACGTGTTTTTAGGAGTCAGGGCATCCTGCTCGGGAGGCACCAGCAGCCTCCAGCCGGAGAACTCGACGCCGGCTCCCCCGCTCGACTTCCGGTGCCTCAGACCCTCCCCTTCTCAGTTCAGTGCAACCTGCTTGTGAGTCCGCCACCAGAGCGCCAGGCAGCACAGTGTCGATGAAGCAAAAGAAGAAGAAAATCCCGAATAGGGTCTCTGGGACAAATGGAGACGAAAAGACCTCCGAGAAACCTGTCCTAGACGAAGCTCCCCCCAGTGCTGAGGCCCAGGTAAGAGAGGGATTCCTCTGTGGTCTAGGTATGTGGAATTAAGGCACTCGAAGGGATGGGACTGGGGTCTGCGGGATCCTGATGCCTTTCACAGCCACATCCTTCTTTCTATCGCAGGCGGAGCAGCTGGCGAGGGAGCTGGCCTGGTGTGTGGAACAGCTGGAGCTGGGTCTCAAGACGCAGAGACCCACCCCCAAGCAGAGTGAGAGCTCCTTCTTTATAGTTAGGAAAATGTAAACGGTGACAGTGCTGTGGCCTGATGGTGTTGCCAGGGGACGGAATCTTTGCTTTTGTAGTAGGATGGCAGGGAGTATGTATGAAGTTACCAGCTCCTTATTTTTATCTGCAGAAGAGCAGGCTGTTGGGGCAATCCGAACCTTGCGCAGTGAAAAAACGCCGTTGCCCCGGAAGAGACAGCTGATGCGCTCCTTGTTTGGGGACTACAGGGCTCAAATGGATGCTGAATGGCGGGAAGCCCTGAGGGCTCTAAAGACTGGTGAGGAACTGGGAAGTATATCTACATCAAGGTTGATGCGGGAGGAAATGGGCTCAGGGGAAACGCCTAAGCAGGGACAATGTATATACCTCTCCGGGGCAGTGGTCCTGGAATAAGGAGGACCCAGGTCCTCATCTGGTTCTGCTTTTGGGGTGGGAAAAACCAGCTCATCTGTCTAGGCCTTGGTTCATTCTACTGACCACAAAGCCCCTTACCAGTTGGAGTGTAGTTCTTGGAACTAAATAACCTGGGTTCAAAATCCTGAATCTGTCATTTTAGATCTTAACATTTTTGGCAAGTTACTGCATCTCTTGTGAATCTCATCAGGGAATGACAATATCGACATTATAGGAACGTTGTGTGGGCAATCATAACTGCCTGGATAATGTTAGCGGTTACTCAGTTCTGACTCTTCCCTCCCGCTTCCTACAGCTCCCCATTCAGCCCAGGTACAGCTTGTAGGCGAGGCGGCCAGGAAGAAGAGTGGAAGGGTCTGCAGGCCTCGTGCAGCGGGAAGAACCAAGGCCGCTGTGGACTCCACTGGTGAAGAGTTTCGCTTCAATTTCTTCTAGATTCTCCCACATTCTGGACTATTCATCGTCCTCCAGGGAGATGTGGGGATTTGTCCTGAGTGCAAGGCTCTTCTAGGAATCCTCTCAGTAGAAGTGGGATTGGTTTGTCCCTAACTGGTGTGTGGACGTGAAGCTGCTAGCCAGCGTGAACCTGTCATGTGGGAACTTTCTAGGAAATTTTCCTCCTGTCAGAAGAGAGATGCGTTTGGGAACTCTTCTGTGACAAGCCTGATTGTTGAGTGGGTTGTAGAAGGAAATGGTGCTCCAGTCTCCGGGAGTAGCTTCTGGTGGTAAGGAACTGAAGAAGCTGTGTAATTATACATGGGCTCACTTTTGAAAGGATGGCCTGGCCACTGGTTTAGTGCTTTCTATATTGTTAGATCACCCTAATAAATATTTTTTTAAAGAAATAGGTGATGCGTGGAAGAGTGTAATGTCTGATTAGAGGGAGTAAGGTGAGGCAGGGGGCTGCCACTACTTGGTCCAGCTCTGATGTCACGGTTTAGCCCTTTGTCAGTGTTGACTTTTTTTCTGAGGAGGTTTTCATCGTCAGAGAGCCAGTGTGGCCTCCATCAGGCCACCGTTTGTTCTTAGGAGCCAAGGAGCTACTTGCCCTAACTAGTACTGAGTCCTTTTTAAAAATCTGTTTATGCCGGGCGGTGGTGGCGCACGCCTTTAATCCCAGCACTCGGGAGGCAGAGGCAGGCGGATCTCTGTGAGTTCGAGGCCAGACTGGTCTACAGCGCGAGATCCAGGAAAGGCGCAAAGCTACACAGAGAAACCCTGTCTCGAAAAACCAAAAAAAAAAAAAAAAAATCTGTTTATTAGCTGGGCGGCAGGTGGCGCACGCCTTTAATCCCAGCACTCGGGAGGCAGAGGCAGGTGGATCTCTGTGAGTTTGAGGCCAGCCTGGGCTACAGAGTGAGTTCCAGGAAAGGCACCAAAGCTATACAGAGAAACCCTGTCTCGAAAAACCAAAAAAAAAAAAAAAAAAAAAAAAACTATTTATTTATGTGTGCCAACGTGTATGTGCGTAGGTATGTATAAGCATGCTAGGCACATGTGGAGGTCACAGGATAACGTCTCAGGGATTGATGTCAGGCTCTAGATTTGCTGGCAATTGTCTTTACTCACTAAGCCATTTTGCCAGCCTACTCACTGCCTCTTTAAGGGTTGACAGCAGTACTGTATACCCCTGCTCCACCCAGCCGAGATCTTCGGGTGAACCAGGAGTCTTCACACTAGTGTAACCTGCTGGTGTTGCCCAAACTCACATCCTAGGCTAGATGCAACCTGGAGTCCTGCTGTATTTAACCTTTCTTTTTTATTTTATTTTTTTTCCGATTTATTTATTTTTATATGCGGATGGACTCTTTTTTTTTTTGGTTTTTCGAGACAGGGTTTCTCTGTGTAGCTTTGCGCCTTTCCTGGAACGCACTTGGTAGCCCAGGCTGGCCTTGAACTCACAGAGGTCCGCCTGGCTCTGCCTCCTGAGTGCTGGGATTAAAGGCGTGAGCCACCACCGCCCGGCGCAGATGGACTCTTTTTTTTTTTTTTTTTTTTTTTGGTTTTTCGAGACAGGGTTTCTCTGTGCAGCTTTGCGCCTTTCCTGGGACTCACTTGGTAGCCCAGGCTGGCCTCGAACTCACAGAGATCCGCCTGGCTCTGCCTCCCGAGTGCTGGGATTAAAGGCGTGCGCCACCACGCCCGGCCAGATGGACTCTTAATAGTCCACATTTACAAAGAGGAGGTCCAATTAGAGGGAAATGTCATCAGTCCTAAGTGAAGCCATGATCAAGCAAGGCCTTTGGTTCATTGTCAACATGTGAAATTACTGGTATAAAAGAATAAAAAGATCCAGGGACTTCTCAGCCCAAGTGAACCTTAAGGATTTAATGTCAACTGGCCTTAAAGGGCCAGGGTTGGGTGGGGGGTTCATTTTGGCCACCTGCATGGTCTTAAATGCCCAAAGATTAAAATGATTGCCGTAACACAAAAGTAAAGTAGACTTTAAAGGGGATAAAAAAATTCATACTTAAATATACCTTTCATTAGACCCTGTGTATGAGGTACTGTGATTCCTTATAAAATAGCCATAGGTACCTCAGCTATAATACAAGAATAAACTATTTAGATAGTTTATCTAAATCCCTCAGTAATTGTTGCCTCACATGCTCTGGTTTTCTTGTTTTTTCTTTTTTTGTTTTTCGAGACAGGGTTTCTCTTTGTAGCTTTGTTTTGTGCCTTTCCTGGAACTCACTCTGTAGACCAGGCTGGCCTCAAATTCTCAGAGATCCGTCTGCCTCTGCCAAGTGCTGGGATTAAAGGCGTGCGCCACCGCCCGGCTGTTTTTTTCTTTTGATGCTTGTTCTATGGTTTAATAAAAGATTGGCATCTCTGGGAACCCGTTTTCAGGTTCCTCGTGGCTTTGCCCAACAGGTCCTCATAGAAAGGATGATTGGACCACGGGCCTGAGTGCAGGTGTCTGAGATGGTCTGCACTTGCTGTGCTGGGGGAGGAGGTCTTTTGCTCCACCCCTTGGCGTCTCTATAAAAACCCTGGGGCAGAGACAGTCAGGGCTTGGAATAGGTTCTAGGCCCTCTCCAGGCTATCCTTTATTTTCTATCTGTTTAGCTCCACAATCTAAATCCTTCTATCTAATACTTCCTGCTGCTCAACTCAAGAAAACTCTGGGGAGCTGTAGGGTTGGTGGGTAAATGCCCTGCAGGCATCCTTTTATTCTATCTCACCATCAGATTCTTCAAATTATTCTATGTATTAAACCACATTATTTTATTATATGTATGGATGCTTTACCTCTATGTATGTCTGTGTACCATGTGTGCATGGTGCCCACAGAGGTCAGAGGAGGTCATTAAAGCCTTACAGAAGGTTGTGAACCACCATATGGGTGTTGGGAATTGAACTTGGGTCCTCTGCCAGAGCAGCCAGTGCTCCTAACCACTGAACTATCTCTCCAGCCCCATTAAGCCACATTTTTGTTTTGTTTTTCGAGACAGGGTTTGTCTGTGTAGTTTTGGTGCCTGTCCTGGATCTCGCTCTGTAGACCAGGCTGGCCTCGAACTCACAGAGATCCACCTGCCTCTGCCTCCCAGTGCTGGGATTAAAGGTGTGCGCCACCACTGCCCGGCTAAGCCACATTCTTAATGTAATGTCACCAATATGTTTGAAAAACAACAGCCGGGGAGGTGGTGGCACATGCCTTTAGTCCCAGCACTCAGGAGGCAGAGGCAGGCCTGATCTACACAGGTGGTTCCAAAACACTAGAGCTGTTAAACAGAGAAACCCTGTCTTGAAAAACCAGAGAGAGAGAGAGAGAGAGAGAGAGAGAGAGAGAACAACAACAACACAATCAAGGGATTGTACCCATGAAGGATGGGTTTTTGAAAACGAACACTGCCATGACTTTCCTTGCTCTCGCCCTTTCTGTGGTTGATTGACACAATCCTGTTACTCTTCCTTAACCCTTGTATTTTAGTAAGATTCTTGTCTTCTTGGAGATGTAATGATTTCAAACTAAACTCCCTATGATGCAGGGATTCAAACTCCTCTTCAGCCAGATAAAACAGCAAGTCTTGTGGTCCCTCTTGGCAGAGACTATGCCCATCATCAATATGGAAGTAGTTATAGAAGATAGCTTGAGCGTCACTGCCTTAGCATGACTTTCTATTGCTGTGGTAAAACACAGACCAAAGCCGGCCTGTGCTGTCTGGTGCCTTTAATCCCAGTTCTCAGGAGGCAGAGGCCTGCAGATCATGAGTTCCAGGCCAGCCTGGTCTACAGAGGTAGTTCCAGGACAGCCAGGACTAAACACAGAGAAACCTGTCTGGAAAAACAAAACAAAACAAAAACCAGTGACTGAAGGCAACCTGGGGAGGAAAGGGTTTATTTGTCTGACATATCCTGATCACCGTCCACCACTGAGTGAAGCCAAGGCAAGAACCGGAGGCTGGAACTCAAACAGGCCATGGTGGCAGTGGGCTGGGTATTCCACCTCAGTCATTAATCAAGAAAATAATGCCCCCGAAGACTTGCCTATAGGCTGAAGTTACATCTTCCCGGATGATCCTGGCTTGTGTTACATTGACAGACTAGCCAACAATTGACTCCTTGTCAGCTTGACACTCAAAGACATCATCACCAAATAACTTTCCCTCCTGTTTATCTCCAAGTTCTCATGTTAGTATCACAATGCATCAGTTAACCCACTAAAGTTAACCACAGAGAAGGCGTCATCAAAGTGAGTCAGATGTATTAAAGAATGAAAATGAAGCAATTTCTTCTGGGATTAGTTTGACCAAGAGGGAGCCCACATTTCAATTCTCCGCTTCTCTCTGTGTCTGTTACTACTGGACTGTCTGCAGTGTGTGTCTGATGGCTCGGTCCGTCCCTAACAAAGTGCTTTATTCTGCTCCCCCCACCTCCACCCCCCCCCCCAGGGTTTCTTTGTGTAGCTCTGGCTGTCCTGGAACTCACAGAGATCCGCCTGCCTCTGCCTCCCAAGTGCTGGGATTAAAGGTGTGCGCCACCACCGCCTGGGTCTTCTTTCTTTTTGGATAGCTAGATGGTAATTCCTTTAGCCTAAAGGAGCAAAACTTAACGGGTGAAGCCGGTATGGTGGTTTGAATAAAAATGGCCCTATAGGCAGTGGCACTATTAGGAGGTGTGGCCTTGTTGGAGTAGGTGAGGTTTTGTTGGAGGAGATGTATCACTAGGGGTGGGCTTTGAGGTCTCAGAAGCTCAAGCCTGGCCAGTGTGTCACTGTCACTTCCTGCTGCCTGTGGATCCAGGTGTAGAACTCTCAGCTCCTTCTCCAGCATCATGTCTGCCTGCACGCTGCCATGCTTCCCATCATGATAATGATGGATTAAATCTCTGAACTGTAAACTAGCCCCAATTAAATGTTTTCCTTCGTAAGAATTGCTGTGGTCATGGTGTCTTTTCACAGCAATGAAACCCTAGTGAAGACGGGTTAGTTGTAACGGTCAGAGCCTGAAGGCAGCAAACCCTGTGTTAATCATTAAGGTTTTTTGCTATTGTCTTTGGTCATTTTACACTGCAAGTCCTTGTACCATTCTAGTTCTTAAGCACACGGTAAAGGTTAAGAGAAAGACACAACATGTGTTGTTGTTTTCCTAGCCAATTTAGCATTGCCCTTAGGTTTTTTGAAGGCAGAGACAGTTTGTGTTTAGGGCATCTTCACACACCCAGCTAGAGAGCATCTAAAAGGACCCATGGGTCCATAGGCAGCCAGGTGTGAGGGAGGGGATTTTCACTTAGCAGTGCGGTGAGAGTCCCCATCACTGCCCAGCAATCGTTTCCTCCAGGAATCCCAGCACTGAAAGTGTAAGACAGAAGTTAACAACTGCAATGCTATTAGATGTTATCATC